TGTCAGGTAACCAACAACATGAGAATACAAGTAATACACACTAAACTAATATATTCGTATTTTTTCCCTTTTTTTTGAGTTGTTCTTTAAAGGAAAAAAAAATAAAAAAAAATTGACCAAGCTCAAAAGGAGCGTTAGAATATATATATATATATATATATATATATATATATGAGCACACTGGTTTTTTTCTCAATAAGTACGTTGCAGCTTGAGTTTCCAATCTTTGTTTATCCATACCCGAATACGAGTAACAATATGTTTTAGTTAATTATGCGGTAAGAAAATATATATTTTACATTTCATGATAATTGTTAATTTTCGTGTATCATACGATTATAATTTATAAAGATATTTTAATTAATTAATTATTAACTCTTAATAATACAAAACCAATTTTTTTTATGATAGGGATGAAAATAAATGACAAAATTATAAATGTTACTAAAAGTAACAAAATAATCATTTTAAGTATTTTCGAGGAAGAGATTAATACTTAAGACTAATAACCTATTTTTATTATAAAAATATTATTTTATATATATAATACTAAAAAAATATCAAGATTTAGTGAGATGTGACCCCCAATCCATGCTCCTCTGTTCCGCCACTAATATCAATATAATACTAAGAAGTTTTATTTTTTATTTTAGTCGTTAATTTTTGTTTATTTAATAATTTGAAGTTAAGAATTAAGTAATTGATATAAATCAATTGTGAATCTGATATTTGGAGATACTTTTCTAAGTTCTGTATGTTTTGCTTAATTAATGCAAGCCAGAAGACGGTGACAAACGTGTGGATTATATTCCTGGCCGATTTCCCTCTAAACGATGGTAGTCACTGCAGCACGCGAATGTTGCAGTATATCTTGGAAGGCATCGTATGGGTTCACAAAGCACAGTATCTTGTATTCACTTTCATATATGAGCTCGAGCCCCGAGCCATTGATGTCCTAAAAGCAGAGTTGTCTTTGCCCATTTACACTATTGGCCCTGCCATACCTTACTTTTAGCCTTGAAGAAAATCTCACTTTGAGGAGCACAAATGGGACTAGCCATAACTACTTTGAGTGGCTAGATGCACAACCCATTGCTTCTGTTCTTTACATCTCACAGGGGAGCTTTTTCTCGGTTTCAAGTGCTCAAATTTATGAGATTGCAGCTGCTTTGCGCGAAAGCAAGGTTCGATTCTTATGGGTGACCCGTAGTGAGGCTTCAAGGTTGAAAGAAATCTGTGGGAACATGGGATTAGTTTTGGAATGGTGTGAGCAGTTGAGAGTGTTGTCTCATCCTGCTATTGGAGGTTTTTGGTCTCATTGTGGATGGAATTCCACAAAAGAAGGTGTTCTTGCTGGGGTTCCATTTCTGACATTCACAATAATTATGGACCAACCACTAGACAGTAAGATGATTGTGTAAAGAACCAATTCAACCCAAAAACTTAAGCTGGTGGGTGAGGACTTTTTAATGGTTTTATATATCTCAACACGCCCCCTCACACGAGAGCCCACTGGGCTTGAAGGGTGGGCAATGCACAGGCCCACCTACCTGTGCGAAGAAAGAAATTCCACTAGAAATAAAGTGAGGGGTGGCGAGGTTCGAACTCGAGACACGAGGCTCTGATACCATGTAAAGAACCAATTCAACCCAAAAGCTTAAGCTGGTGGGTGAGGACTTTTTAGTGGTTTTATATATCTCAACAGATTGTAGAGGATTGGAAGGTTGGCTGGAGGGTGAAGGAAGACGTTAAAGTAAAGTAGGAAGGATATTCTTACTACCAAATTTTTTTACTACCAACTCATTACCTATCTAATCACCATTGGATAACATTTTCTCTTTTTTCAAAAACTTTTTAGCATTCTCTCTCCTTGATTCAATGGTGATTAGATAGGTAATGGGTTGGTAGTAAAAAATTTTAGTAGTAAGAATATCCATTCTCAAAGTAAATACTTTGGTAAAGAAAGATGAAATTTCAAGCCTAGTAAAGAAATTTATGGATTTGGATAGTGACCTTTCAAGGGAAATCAGGGAAAGAACCAGGAAGCTCCAGCAGATATGTCATGATGCAATTGCACATGGTGGGTCAGCTGCAACTGATTTCAATGCCTTTATTAGCGATATGATGCAGACTACATTAATGCCATAAACATGTAGCAGATGATGTACTCCTCGATCCCAATTATATTTGTAGACCACGTTATTTATTGAATTTTAAGTTGCTGGAATATTCGTATTATTTTGACAGAGATACTCTACTGTGGAAATTGAAGAATATATACGAGCGCAATTCATGCTTTTATACAAATGTTTAATTAACCTATTGCTGGGATGAATATACATAAAATGAAATAAAATATTCTGTACAAGTCTCTCCATCAATCTGTTACTTACGTTGACTGAGGAGGAAATCTCTCTTTGCCAATTCCTACGAATGCCCTTATTCGTATGCCAAATTCTTATTGAAATGTATACGGTGCAACAATATAACAATTCAATATGATTTTCTTTTTCTTTTTCTCATTCTTATTCTTACAATGTTACTTTTCCGTTGGAGATAATACAGTTATTTTTCAATGAATTAATCGCTCTCATGCCATTGCATGGCCTCTATGGTGATTAGTTTGGGTAACATGGAAGGGGGGGTCATCCAAACTCGTTTTAGTCAAGGACTTATTGAGTGTAGTCAGGCTTTGATATAATCCCATGACTACAAAAGAAGTTTCCATTTGAGAGAAGTGAATGTGGGATTGAATATTGAGAATCCAAGTGCAAGTAGTGGAGTTTCATATTGATTCAGAATAAATTAAGTGAGAATCGTGTAAATACAAAGATTCATACATCTAACACATTAAGGTTTTGGGGTTAAGATGTGGCGTCGAACTCACATTTTTGCTTATCCCAGTAAGTGTAGTTCTTTCCTGCCGTAGAATCCCTCTAACCCAACAAAAACATTGTTACCGAGGTGGCGAAATATATGGATCATTACTAGATGAAGGATTCACAAAATTAGAAAATAGCTTAGAGATTTCACAAAATAATTGATTATTGATTATTTTTGAGGTGGTAATTTTGTAAATTTGAAGGCTTATTGATTACACTTTCATAAATAAAAATTTTTCAACATTAAATCTAGTTATATTCACACTTCATCTATATAAACAAAGGAAAATTATTTTCTCATGAAATATGTGACAACTTTCTCGTATTATGAGACATCAAACTTCGTTATATCCTTTTTGTTTTTTTTAACAAGTAGCGGTCATTTCACTTGTTGTGTCTATAGTACAAGAGAAGTATGGACCTCTTTTAACATGGAGGGGGGGGGGGGGGGGGGGGGGGGGGGGGGAGTCATCCAAACTCGTTTTAGTCAAGGACTTATTGAGTGTAGTCAGGCTTTGATATAATCCCATGACTACAAAAGAAGTTTCCATTTGAGAGAAGTGAATGTGGGATTGAATATTGAGAATCCAAGTGCAAGTAGTGGAATCTCATATTGATTCAGAATAAATTAAGTGAGAATCGTGTAAATACAAAGATTCATACATCTAACACATTAAGGTTTTGGGGTTAAGATGTGGCGACGAACTCACATTCTTGCTTATCCAAGTAAGTGTAGTTCTTTCCTGCCGTAGAACCCCTCTAACCCAACAAGAACATTGTTACCGAGGTGGCGAAATATATGGATCATTACTAGATTGAAGGATTCACAAAATTAGAAAATAGCTTAGAGATTTCACAAAATAATTGATTATTGATTATTTTTGAGGTGGTAATTTTGTAAATTTGAAGGCTTATTGATTACACTTTCATAAATAAATTTTTTTCAACATTAAATCTAGTTATATTCACACTTCATCTATATAAACAAAGGAAAATTATTTTCTCATGAAATACGTGACAACTTTCTCGTATTATGAGACATCAAAATTCGTTATATCCTTTTTGTTTTTTTAACAAGTAGCGGTCATTTCACTTGTTGTGTCTATAGTACAAGAGAAGTATGGACCTCTTTGATTCCTATTTCCAAGAATTTTTTATAAGCTTTTAGAAAAACCAATTATTTGATAAGGGTTATTTTGTGAAAATAACCACGAAAGTAGTAAATATTATTGAGGTAGGATCATTTGATGTCAGTGTCAAATTTTAATCTTGACACCTAATATCAGAACCGTTAGATCAAAAAAAATCAATGACTCTGATTTGCAAGCATGTGACACCATTGATCTTTTTTGATCTAACGGCTCTGAGATGAGGTGTCAAAATTGAAATTTGACACCGGTGTCAAAGGATCCTAGCTCAATATTATTTAGTATTTAAAACTAAAATTAGGGAACAATTTATAAATATTCTCAAAAAAATGTTTTCGATCTCATTTTATTGTTTTTGTAATGATAATATATGTTATCATTTTAAAGATTTATTAATGGTATTTTCATAAATAAATTTAACTTCTTTTTAACTTCAAATTGCTTTGCAATTACATATTATAATTATGAAAATTCATCGATCGTACTTTAATAAATAAGTCTAACTTCTTTTCATTTTTTCAACTTTAAAATTAATTATATTCAAACGAGTTTTTTAATTCTCATCTTTTAAATTCAGTTTTCAAGATCTATATTAAAAAAAATAAATCAAACAAACCCGCGAATTCCAATACAAAATAAACTTTAGATTCTCGTAGCAAGTCTTCGCGTCAGGTCTCGAAGGAGGATGAATGGAGAGGAAGTGTATCGCTCCCCGCACACTGGTGCCGCAAGAGAGAAAAAAATAGAGAGAAAGAGGAGAGAGGAGAGAGGAGAGAGAGGGAAAATAAAAATAAAAAAAAGGACTAGGGAATAAAATTCCGAATGAATGAGCCTCGTTGGACCAGGTAAACCCTACATCGACCATTACCAAATTGTGCGTAGTTAAGAAGCATAGGTATATGCTTTCTAAGTTTCAACCTTAAACTTCATCTTCTTCCCAAAATTTCATCAACATTTCTCCCCAATTCACATGGAAGCTCCACTGACTTTCGCTTGCCATGTGGTGGCCATGCCCTACCCAGCTCGTGGCCACATAAACCCAATGATGAACCTTTGCAAGCTAATGGTCTCCAAAAACAGTAGTATCCTCGTAACCTTTGTCGTCACCGAAGAATGGCTTGGCTTCATCGGATCCGATCCGAAACCCGACAACATTTGGCTCAGCTCAATCCCCAACGTTGTCCCGTCGGAGCTGATTCGCGGACACGACCACCCCGGATTCATGGAAGCTGTCATGACCAAGATGGAAGCGCCCTTTGAACAGCTACTCGACCATCTTCAGATGCCGCCTACAATCATTTTATATGATACTTTCTTGTACTGGGTCGTCGTTGTCGGAAACCGAAGGAATATTCCGGTGGCGTCGTTTTGGACAATGTCTGCGTCAATTTTCTCCGTGCTCCTTCACCGTCACCTATTGGAACAAAATGGTCATTACCCCGTGAACTTGTCAGGTAACCAACATGAGAATACAAATAATAAAACAGTAAATTAATATATTTGCATGTTTTTTTTTTTTTTAATAGAATTGCATGTTTCTTTTTGGTTCTTCTTTAAAGGGGAAAAACAATAAAAAATTGAGCAAGATCTAAATAAAAAGTGCTAAAATTATGGGGAAAGTGCATGTGATCTTAAGGGGCTGTTGGTAGAAGGGATTTTTTGAAAATCGCAAGGAAGTAAGTGATAGTGATATTTGTATTTATCCATGTTTGATAGATGTTTTCTCAAAATTTTCCTGAATATTAAATTCCCTAGGATTTGTATTTATGTACAAATTGTGTTCAAAATTCCCTTCCAAGAATACCACAAAAATAAGTGGTATTCTTGGAATACCGGTTCGGGAAAATTACGCTCAATTTCTGGGACAATATTACCCTTCTATAATCGAATAGCTCTCTCTCATCATCCATCCTTTGTCGAACCTATTGGGCTTCCTCCTTCAATGCTAAACCCAAGCCCATTTGAGGTGTTTCCTAAAAATTCTAACCCTAATTTCCACCTCCTCTATATATACTAATTAATTGTGGGTGGAGGCTAGGTCAGATTTGAGAGAACAAATTTGAAAGAAAAATTATTTGATTGTTTGAGTAAAGCTTTATGCTTTGCATATGAGAGATCTCTATAGAGAGTTTGAGTGAAACATCTCTAGGGTAGTTTGATTATCACCATTGTTGGAGAGGTTAAGTTAACCACCACATTAGTGTATTTGATTATTTGTAACCATTATCTTCATAGTGGATTTCTGATCTGGACTAGGTCCCGTGGGTTTTTACTTCTTCATTGAAGAAGGTTTTTCCCACGTTAAATCTGGTTGTGTTCTTCTTCTCTCTCTCCTGTTTTGGTTTTGATTTTTCCGCTGCGCTGCCTGACCTGGTGAAGTTCAGGCCGAGGTATTGCCGAGATCCGAGATCAAGATCTTGTTGATTGACTTCCGCACAAAGGCCCCTGAGCCGATCTGAGGGAACCGAGTTTTCCCAACAGTGGAATCAGAGCCCGAGTTCGACGGGTTCTGAGGGAGACGAGATGGAGACCAGTGGCATAACTCATGATGGAGATATGTTCAAGTTGACTGCAGACAACTTCACTTATTGGAGACCGATGATGGAAGATCATCTCTACTGCAAAGATCTACATGAGCCCATTATCCTTGATGAGAGACCGGCAGGAAAAACAGATAAGGAGTGGGAGATCCTGAGTCGGAAGGCGGTTGCCACGATCAGGAAATATATTGATAAAAGCCTCTTTGAGCACGTGTCCGAATTCACGAACGCGTATGAGTTGTGGAAGAAGTTGGAGTCCATGATTCAGAAGAAGACTCCCAGGAACAAAGCACACCTGGTTCGCCAACTTGTTAAGCTTGAATACAAGGACGGCATGAGCATGATTGAACACATGAACACCTACAAAGGTATTGTGAATCAGCTGTCAAAGGCTGATATGAAAATTGATGAAGAATTGCAGGCATTGCTGCTGTTGAGCTCGCTGCCAGAAAGATGGGATACTCTGGTGGTGACCCTGAATAACTCGACTCCAGATGGAAAATTGAAGATGGATGTCGTGACAGACAGCCTCCTGGGCGAAGAATCCAGGAGAAGAGAACGAGGTACTTCGAGCACGTCTAAGGCCAACGTTGCTGAGAACAAAGCGAAATCTGACTCCCGTGGTAGAAGTAAGAGCCGCGGTAGAGGTCGTGACAGAAGAGACAAGTCCAGAGGTCGGTCAAAGCCGAAATATGAGTTGAAGTGCTTTTACTGTGGAAAGACAGGCCACAAGAAGCCAGACTGCTGGACCCTGCAAAATGATGAGAAGAACGGCTCTGTGAAGCCATATCAGATTGTTCCCAAGAAGAGGGAAGACAAGAGCACCACTGCGGTGGCTGCAAACCCTGATGCCGATATATTCATCCTAGGTGAGGATAATTATTTGAATGTTGCATATGATGACTGCACCTGGATTGTTGACTCCGGTGCCTCCTTCCACGTTACTCCTCACAAAGGTTTTTTCTCCTCTTATCGAGGTGGTGATTTTGGAGTCGTGAAGCTGGGAAATCAAGTGACCAGCAAGATTGTTGGTGTCGGTAATGTAACTCTGACCACGGATGTCGGATGCCGACTTGTGTTGAAAGATGTGAGGCATGTTCCTGACATGCGTTTGAACCTAATCTCGGTAGGCAAACTTGATGATGTCGGGTTAGTGAACTACTTCGGTAGTGTGAGATGGAAGCTGGCCAAGGGAAACTTGGTCGTGGCCCGAGGTAAGAAGGAAGGCTCATTGTACGTGATGCAAGGAAAGATCAATGGTGGAGAAGCCAACTCTGTCCGAGATGAACCTAGCTTGGAGCTATGGCACAAGCGGCTCGGCCACATGAGCGAGAAAGGGCTCCAGATCCTGAACAAGAAAGGATTACTGACCGGGTTGAAAGGCCAAGCGTTGGAGAGTTGCACGCATTGCCTAGCTGGAAAGCAGCACCGGGTTTCCTTTGTGTGACCGGATAAACCTAGACGACGCAGGTATATTCTTGACCTCGTCCATACTGATGTCTGCTCCATGTCGGAAAGATCCCTTGGAGGAGCTCAGTACTTTGTTTCATTTATTGATGACCATTCCCGCAAAGTGTGGGTATATTTGTTGAAGTCTAAAGACCAGGTACTCCAATCATTTAAAGAATTACATGCTATGGTTGAAAGGGAGACTGGCAAGAAATTGAAGATGGTCCGATCTGATAATGGTGGTGAGTATTGCGGCCCATTTGATGCATACTGCAGAACGGCCGGAATTCGACTTGAGAAGACGCCCCCCCAAGACACCTCAGCTGAATGGACTGGCTGAGCGGATGAACAGAACTATTGAAGAGAAGGTCCGAAGCATGTTATCCAATGTTGGATTGCCGAAATCATTCTGGGGAGAAGCCGTCAAAACAGCTGTTGACTTGATCAACCTCTCACCATCACGGCCACTTGAAGGAGAAATTTCAGAAGAAGTCTGGACAGGTCGGAAAGCGGCCTACAATCAATTGAAGGTGTTTTGATGCCGAGCTTTCGTGCATATCCCTAAAGATGAAAGGGCTAAACTTGATGCAAAGACCAAATAATGCATTTATCTTGGTTCGCCGAGATGTGAGTTCGGGTTCCGACTTTGGGATCCAATCAATAAGAAGGTCGTGAGAAGCCGAGATGTGATCTTTCATGAGCATGAGAACATTCGTGACATCTCGAAGCCCAAAGTCCGGGTTACTGTCAGACGTGAAGAACCCATCCCTCCTGTCCGAGCTGAAGCAGGAGGAGAAAATCAAGAAAATGAAGAAAATGATGATCAGCAACAAGCTGAAGATGACCAAGACACTGAGGTCCGAGTTGATGATGAGATCCAGGATGAAATTGATGAACCGGGTTCTCAAGCTGAAGAACAGCCGAGATATCCAACTCGAGAAAGAAGATCCTCTACAAGATACCCATCTGACGAATACACCGTTGTAGCTGAAGACGGTGAGCCTCGGAGTTATGATGAGGCTGTGACGAGGTCAGAGAAAGAAGAATGGAAAAAGGCAATGCAAGACGAGATGAAGTCTCTGCACGTTAAATCTGGTTGTGTTCTTCTTCTCTCTCCTGTTTTTGTTTTGATTTTTCCGCTGCGCTGCCTGACCTGGTGAAGTTCAGGCCGAGGTATTGCTGAGTTCCGAGATCAGGATCTTGTGGATTGACTTCCGCACAAAGGCCCCTGAGCCAAACCGAGTTTTTCCAACAGAACCCAGTACCCACCATTCCTAATCTTGCTTTCCTTTTCAACCATCGAAACGGCGAAACCCCATCTCCCACGTCTCCCTTTTGTCGTCAACTCACAACCCCTTTTCTCTATTTTCTCCACCGCCAACACTACTTGATTAACCATCATCTCTGCCCTCTAGTTGTTGGTCAGTAATAACAGGAAAAATCGGCAGTGCTCCCTTTCTCTCCCTTGATTCCTTGCATAACAAATCGAACCACAACGCTGAAGCCATCAACCGAGACCCATTTCCTCTATTGGTCTGTTCTGCCGAAGCTCCGCCAACAAAATCATGTTTGAATAAAGAGTGAACGTGGGGTTATTTTTGTAAATTAACTTCACATTTTCATTAATATTTCTCAATCAAACAAACACATATTCAATAAACTTAATCAAATAATCTCAATAATATTTTGGTATTCCAAGCAGCTTTTTTTTGTAGCATTCTTAATTCTCTTTCTCACCATATTTTTAAAAATCATAATTCTCAGATACTAAAATTTTTTTCCTCTGCCAAACAGCACCGAAAAGATGTAAAATTGTTTCATTTTAAGCGAGGAGAAAGAGATAGATCATGGAAGAGAGAAAAATGGACAGAAATAAAAATTAAGATATGAATCTCACAGAGTGAAAATACATAAGTTGTTTCATGTACAAATTGTATTTGATTCAGTGGCCACTAAATTGGCCACACGCATGGTCTTGATTTTTTATGCTTCAATTTTTATATATCATCTCTTCATTAGGTTCAGAAAATTATTTAAATTGTATGAGATTTTGATTATGATATTTGTAGATATTGAAATTATTTTTTTGGAAACTGATATTGAAATTATTTATGTATTACTTAATTGATGCAAGGCAGAAAACGGTGATAAACGTGTGAATTATATTCCTGGAATTTCCCCAATGCGCCTGGCCGATTTCCCACTAAACGACGGTAGTTACCGCTGCACCCGACTATTGCAATATAGCATGAAAGGTATCACATGGGTTCACAAAGCACAGTATCTTTTATTCACTTCCATATATGAGCTCGAGCCTCGAGCCATTGATGTCCTAAAAGCAGAGTTGTCTTTGCCCGTTTACATTATTGGCCCTGCCATACCTTATTTTAGCCTTGAAGGAAATAATCCCATTTTGTTGAGCACCAATGGGACTAGCCATAACTACTTTGAGTGGCTAGATGCACAACCCATTGCTTCTGTTCTTTACATCTCGCAAGGAAGCTTTTTCTCGGTTTCAAGTTCTCAAATTTATGAGATTGCAGCTGCTTTGCGCGAAAGCAAGGTTCGATTCTTATGGGTCGCCCGTAGTGAGGCTTCAAGGTTGAAAGAAATCTGTGGGAACATGGGATTAGTTTTGGAATGGTGTGAGCAGTTGAGAGTGTTGTCTCATCCAGCTATTGGAGGTTTTTGGTCTCATTGTGGATGGAATTCCACAAAAGAAGGTGTTCTTGCCGGGGTTCCATTTCTGACATTCCCAATAATTATGGACCAACCACTAGACAGTAAGATGATTGTAGAGGATTGGAAGGTTGGCTGGAGGGTGAAGGAAGACGTTAATAGAAATACTTTGGTAAGTAAAGATCAAATTGCAAGCCTATTGCAGAAATTTATGGATTTGAATGGTGACCTTTCAAGGGAAATGAGGGAGAGAACCAAAAAGCTCCAGCAGTTATGTCATCATGCAATGGCACATGGTGGGTCTGCTGCAACTGATTTCAATGCCTTTATTAGCGATATAATGAATTAATGGTTCACATGCTATTGCATGGTTTTTATGGTGATAACTTTGGTGTCGTGGATTCCATTCGAGTAACTTTATCACTTTAATAATTATAGTTTTTTTCTTCTTTCCAAAGTATAACTTCAATGATGAATAACCACTGTTTAATCACAAGAAGTTACTTTAACAATAAAAATATATATATATATATATATATATATGTGTGTACAATATATAAGCGGATATATACGGTTACAAATTTGAGGTTATGAAAAAATATTTTTGTGGCTTCTCGATTTCTTAGTATTTTATTTTATATAATACCTCAAATTTATGGACATTTAAGTTAATTCATTATAATATGTATTTCCTGACATTATAGCCTCTCTGTTTTTTTAGATATATATAAATTTTATATCCATCTTTATTTTTATTAATATTAAATAGGTAAGGCTTAATTAAAATTTTCGAATGGAAAAATAAGTACAAAATTTTCACAGCACCACTTGATATGAGTTACTTGAATTTGGACTCCGGCACAACTTTTCAGAAGGGATTGCTGAGGCCTTTTGACCTTGATGACGTTACTTTTAAAATGTATAGCCGGAATAATTTTTAGGTCAAAAATTTTGTCAATATAATGCATAATAACGCAGTTGGGAAACGGATCTAAGGACATGATAGGATCCATGTTGCGTCCTGTACAATTTTTTGGCGCGGTCATCAGTGTTCCTAAGACATGATATCTTCCATGTCACGTCCAGTACAACTTTTGGCACGACAATCGATGCTCCTAAGACGTGATACCTTACCTGCCGCGTCCTGTAAACAAACAATGTCCCTTCTCTTTCTTTCTATCTGTTTCAACTTTCAATTCATTTTTTTGCATTTAATAATGAAATTTTGCTAAGTGAACTACGACATTTTTGTTTGCTCATATCATGTATTTATTTTAATTAAAAGAAGTTCTGTGGCACTGTGCAAAGTTATGAAATGCTTAAAATAAATATCGAAGAGTAATGTGTCAACAAAGAGATGACCTATGAGTTGTACAATTGTTCATTGGCTCTGTCTAGCTAGGAAAAGAGTACTTTATTTTATTTCATTTTATAAATTATATGTATCGTCTGCAAAAGATAATCTTGTTTGGGACGAATCCATCATTAAAGTTTTAAATTTGGCCCGGCCATTGAAGTGGTCAGGGGCCACGGGTTCAATTGGGGGGTTACGGGGTCACTTCACTGACCCGATTTTAAACATTAAAAAATATACACATAATGATGTCGTTTGATGTGTAAAAAAAAAAAAAAAAAAACTCGTTGTTGCCTAGATTTAGAACTAGATCTGAAATTTGAATCGTTCTTCTTACTTTCTTCCGATCTTCTAGACCCAATCTCCTTGTTCCAGTGATCTCCTCCACCATGCTGGTTCTCTCTCCCCACCGTTAATTTTTCGTGTCGTCGTCTCTCTTCCGCTATTCTCTATTCAGTAAGGGACCTCCTTTCTCTATTTGTGTATCTAAATATTTTTTAATGTTTAAAATCGGATCAGTGAAGTGACCCCGTAACCCCCCAATTGAAATATTTGTGTATCTATTGAGTAAGGGATTTTCTTTCTCTATTTTCACAGTGCCACAGAACATTTTTTAATTAAAATAAATACATGATATGAGCAAACAAAAATGTCGTAGTTCACTTAAGTAGTTCTCTTACCAAAATTTCATTATTAAATGCAAAAAAAAAAAATGAATTGAAAGTTGAAACAGATAGAAAGAAATAGAAGGGGCATTGTTTGTTTACAGGACGCGGCAAGTAAGGTATCACGTCTTAGGAGCATCGATTACCGTGCCAAAAGTTGTACTGGACGTGGCAGGGAAGATATCACGTCTTAGGAACACTGATGACCGTGCCAAAAGACTGTACAGGACGCGGCATGGATCCTATCATGTCCTTAAGCGTCCATTTTCCAACCGCGTTGTTGTGCATTATATTGGCAAAACTTTTGACCCACAATTTATTACGGTCATACATTTTTAAATTCACATCACCATGGTCAAAAGGCCGATTGCTGAGCTTCTCATCCTGTACGAAAATTTTTGCAACAATTTTCACTTAAAAATCAAACAAAAATACTTCTTCTAAATACAACTACTAGCTGTTCCATGATACTAATGTTATAAAATTCTTAATCTAATTTTCATGTATTGTTAGCGTAAATTTTTTATATTTATATTTATATCTATATTTAATAATATATTATTATATTTTCAATAAAATTTATCTTTCACATAATTGTTTACATAATTAGATTTATTAAATGAGATATTAACATAATACTTTTTTATACGACAATAGTCGCTTATGATAGAAATAGATTGGACTGAAGGAAAATCTGTCATCTATGAAGCACCGACACTTTAAAAATTCTGACATGTCGTGTCCGACACTTTTCGACACTCTGACACTCCCCGACACTTCAATGCGCGTTGTAGAAATTCAAAAAAAGATTCAAAGGTTGTGCTGCGTTGTGTTTTTAGTTCTAACTATTTGATTCGTTGGATTACTATTACTATTTTATTGAATTTAATATAAATATTTGTGGTATCTTATGTTTCTTTGCAAAATTATTGGGTATTATAAGTTTAGCTTTATTTTTTTGTTAAATTATTGAATATTAAAGATAATATACGCAACATAAATTAAAAATAATATTCAATATCAAAACGTGTCCTAATGTGTCGAAATCTAACATTTTTTAGAATTAACGTGTCGAAGTGTCGTATCGTATCGTGTCCCGTGTCAGTATCGGTGCTACATAGTTTGTCATTATAACTTTTGACCTGTCTGCGAACTCGGAACCTAGTTAAATTCACTAAAATGGTTTTAATAAAAAAAAAAGGGGGGGAAATGTGTCATTTTAAATGACACACTTTATATCTTTTCACTCTCACAAATAAATGGAATACATATTTTTAAAATATTTTCCCTCCACTCTCTTTCATGATTTAACTCTTTCTCTCACTTAAAATGACACAACCTTATGTCTTTTAAAATGATACGCATTTTTTCCAAAAAAAAGACATACTACAATGGAAATTAAGTTGTTAAAAAAAATGGAAAAATTATGTATCAATTCATTATCACAAAGAGATGAGATCAGCTAAAAAAATAAAGTTAAAAATAAATAGAAATGTGGATATCATATTTCTTTATGAGAATAAAATGATATAAGATATGTCATTTAAAATGACACATTTTTTCCCTAAAAAAAATAGCAAACAAAAGTGGGTTCTTTTATCCTAAATTTAAATTTAAAAAGAATATTCGGAAACCTTAGCCTAACTCAATTTTCTGTGACTCTGATGGGTAATTCATTGTTACTCTTGTAATACACACTTTTAGATTAAAACATAAAACTAGAAATAAGTTCCACGTGCCATTAAATACAAAAGCAGTGAATAGAATAATATTATTAAATGATTTTTTATAAATTTTAATAGTTGATAAAGTATAAATAGCGTTTGATAATTAATAGAACTCCTGTGTACAAGTTCTAACCTACAGAGATAATGTAGCACTACCTAGAGTGAATGTAAAATGGAAATGGATCTTCTCCAAAAAAGAATATTACATGATCATGTATAAATATCACCATTATATAAAAATAAATCAAAGGTTATAATTTTATAATTATATATATTATTATTAATTTTTTTTATATGATTATTATTCCTCACATAATTTTAATATGCGAGAATTCACATCCATGTAAACTGAATAAATTGTTGCCACCGATACCTAAGAAGTGTATTAATTATGAGTTTTATTAATCTCATGTTAAAGGAGATTGTTATCTCATGTCATAGAGACAAATTAGTGGGCTCCACCACCTGAAAAAAAAAAGTGACATAGTTATCGAAAAGTGTGTAGGAAGAAAAACTTATGTCATGTGAGATAAGAATAGTTTTTTCGTTAACTATTAACTATTAACTATTAAGTGGCCAAAAGACTCTCTGTGGGTCAAAGAGATGTGTGACGTGGGTATGAATCTTCCGCTACAATCTGGTTATTTTTATTTTTTATGGTTAGATTCTCCATGGTTATTATTATTATTTATTTTTTTTAAAACTATCCACGGTTAATATTTGAATGCTGAGAAACCTTACGCCCTTTATGATATGAGATTTATGAATATTATGTTACAAGATGAAGCTTACATCATGTTACACTCACAATGCAAGTGGGTTCCACTATTTTTTTATTATTATTTTTTTATAAAAACTTATAGGATTTACTTACATTGTAAGTATAATATGATGTAAGCTTCATCATGTAACATAATATTCATAAATCTATTATAATTTATGTTTTTAAGTGTGGAAAACCAACCTTGAATCCGATGATTGGACCCTATGTTGTCATTGCTTACGTCAATATAGACAAACCTCCACGCGCGGCTCCACTAGAACTGGAATTAAGTATTCCAATACAAAATAAACTTTAGATTCTCCTAGGTCTTTCACTTCATGTCCCTATGCTTAAAACAAAATTATAAAACCATTTCACTGTGTCACTTTCCTAAGCACACCTTATCTCCATGGAGGGTCCAATTCCAGTTCCATCAACCATCACCGCCCACGTGGTAGCTGTTCCCTACCCAGGTAGAGGCCACGTGAACCCCATGATGAACTTCAGCAAATTGCTCGTGTCCAAAAACTCCGGCATCCTCGTAACCTTCGTCGTCACCGAAGAATGGCTCGGCTTCATCGGCTCCGAACCCAAGCCCCACAACATCCGGTTCGCCACAATCCCCAACGTTATTCCCTCCGAGCACGGTCGAGCCAACGACTTCGTCACCTTCCTTGAAGCCGTTATGACCAAGATGGAAGCCCCTTTTGACCAGCTACTCCATCGCCTTGACCCGCCGCCAACAATCATCATTTACGACACTTACCTCCTCTGGGTGGTTGGCGTTGCAAATCGGAGACGCATTCCGGTGGCGTCGTTTTGGCCAATGTCAGCGTCGTTTTTCGCCGTTCTCAAACACTACCATCTACTGGAGCACAATGGTCACTACCCTGTAAACTTGTCAGGTTAGTTACTTTTCTATTCAGCACAAAACTGTTGACTGATGTAAATTTCGCTTCATTTAATTTGAATATTTTAAAGTAAATAAAATATAATTAGCATAGAAAAATACTTTAAAATATAATTAGCATAGAAAAATACTTTAATTTTAAACTATTTAATTTGAATATTTTAAGACAGCCAAAAAAAAAAAAAACCGAGAGTAAATTATCTTACAAAAGTTATGGGGCCTAATTTTTTTTTTAAATCATATTAATTTTTTTAACGATCTAATATAAATTTTCTTTAAATTTTAGAAGAATTATAATTTCTATTAATTAAATTTATTTTAAATTTTTGAGAGACCGTAAATTAAATTTTTTTTTTAAAGATTAAATCACACCTGTGATTTTTGTTAAGAATGCAAAAAAGTACTTTTGTGAATGAATACAGTTGAAGTACCGCTTCTATACCAAAAAAAAAAAAAAAAAAAGTTGAAGTACAGCTAGTTGAAAAAGTAGTAAAAAATAATTGTGATTACGAAGAAAGCCAATTTGATTTCTTCTTTTATATATTAGAGATTTTGCATTTGTTATATTCCATGACAAATATAAATTTTTTTATATATCATCAATATTTGTGTTATATTTTTATTTTATTTTAAACACGATGAACCCATTTACTGTCTCTAACTCTTTATAGCATGACAACATGGTTTATTTCCCCCTATATATTATCCTATAAATAGAAATACGAGCTTAAACAAGTCATTCCTAAAAACAAAGCATTTCTAGCCCCAATCTCACCTTCTTCATTACGTTTAATTCCCCCGGCCCCTCTCTTCTCTTCCTTTTTTGTCCCTTTAATTTATGAATTCTAATTGAATTAACACAACTTTACACTAAATTCCAATAAAAACCCAACAAATGAAAATAGTTTATACAGTAACTAGAGCTTCACCGAACTCTGATATTTAAAGCCTTTTGTGTGTTGTTAAAATGGTTGCAACAGAAGACGGTGACAAACGGGTGGATTTTATTCCGGGGAACTCGTCAATTCGTCTTGCAGATTTTCCACTTAACGATGGAAGCTGGCGTAGCCGTAAATTGCTGTCATTGGCCTTAAAAACTACACCATGGGTTCAGAAAGCGCAATATCTGTTATTCCCTTCCATGTATGAGCTAGAGCCTCGAGCCATTGATGCTTTGAAAGCAGAATTCTCTATACCCATTTACACTACTGGCCCTCTCCTACCTAATTTTGGTCATGGCGAGAACAATGTTGACCTTAGCTATTTACATTGGCTAGATAACCAACCTTCTGGTTCTGTGCTATACATCTCACAAGGTAGTTTTCTTTCGGTCTCGAGTGCACAAATTGATGAGATCGCAGGTGGTTTGCGTGACAGTGGTGTTCGGTTCTTGTGGATTGCGCGCGGGGAGACTTCAAGGTTGAAAGAGATGTGTGGCGATATGGGACTAGTTTTGCCATGGTGTGACCAAATGAGGGTGTTGCAACATCCTGCTATAGGGGGGTTTTGGTCTCATTGTGGGTGGAATTCCACTAGAGAAGGTGTTTGTTGTGGTGTTCCTTTTCTTACATTTCCAATAATGATGGACCAACCCATGAATAGTAAGTTAATAGTAGAAGATTGGAAGGTTGGATGGAGGGTTAAGCCAGGGGTTAAACAGGACACCTTGATGAGCAAAGATGAAATTGCTAGCCTTGTCCAAAGATTTATGGATTTGGATAGTGATGAAGTAAGAGATATGAGGAAAAACGCCAGAGAGCTTCAGAAGAAATGTCAACTTGGAATTGCAAATGGTGGGTCGTCAGAAACTGATTTGAATGCCTTTCTCAGGCATATATTACAGGATGCCAAGCCATAGAGTAAGATTTATTGTCTCATTTTAATCCTCCAACATCTTTTAGTATCTTCCACAGTGCTAGATCCGTTAACAAAATATCTTGTTCGAGAAAACCTAGAATTCATATTCACCTTGTTTTGTATGCCTTGTCTCCACAACGTGATAAAATAAAAAATAAAAAATAATGTAATCTTGTTGGATGTTGGAAGATTCAATAGCATTAATAAAGAAGGGGAACCTTTACGAATCTTGTATAGTGGATTAGTAAAGACTTAACGAGCAACTATTTCAAAGAGGAATGTATTCTCTCACATGTAAGACAAATCAACTGTGATAAAAATTGAGAGAGAGAAAATTATGAGACAGAGATTGATATAAAAAAAATAACCATTAATTTGTCTATATATAATTGACATTACCTCGTATTACATAGTCATAGTAAATCATACATGAATTTATTCATTTCCATTTGAAACTGACGATAAATTTCCATTAGATCATAAAAGAAAGAGAATGAGAACAAGAGAAAAAGGTGAGAGAAAAAAATTCAATCAAAAATTTAAATTTTGTTTTAAGGGACAAGATTTTTATATTAAATAAGCAGTTTATATATAAGATAATATGACAGTGTAAGTAAATAAATAAACTGAACTAATATTACTATTTTTTCTATATATATAAAATTTTATATTTAATAAAATCATAATGTCATCCGGTTTAACCATCCAATCTAACCATTTAAACTGATTACACCTGAACTTAAAACTTCACCGATTCACTATCTGATCCAACTTCAACAATATTTATCATAACACAGGGTGCCAAGCCATTGACATTAAGCTAACCCCGGCTCACTGTTGTTTCATGGGCCAAATAAATAGATCTTGTGGCCGTACATATACAAATGTTCTGGAAATGAGTAATGATGACAGAGGCTGGGAAGAGTTTATGAAATAAACATATATGTCCAATTATATTTTCCTTTGAAAAGTCGTGCAATGAATCGATCAAACTTATCAGAGGGTTTGGATCTTTCTTAGCTTTAAAATGTCCTTATAACCAACCAATGTCAGGGTGTGTAATGCGAGGATTTTAGTAGTCCGTTTAATCCAAACCCACAGCCCATTTAATCGAGAGTTGGGCCGGGCCGAGCCAACTCTCTTAATATTAATTATTAATAAATTAATATAATAATAAATAATAATATGCTGAATACTATAATAAGCTCACAATCACATCACACGATATCCTCGCTTATGCATTAACGCATAAGAGGATATTCTTTTGTTTTGATATTCAATTATTTTTTTTATCTGTTTTTATTATGTAAATAAAATTTAGAAAAGTGTACACAATGAACCAAGCTACGATAAAATGGAAAGTAGAAACATATCAGCTAAGGAAGGAAACAAACACGGATATACCAAATGCTTGGCTGAGGAGCTTTGAGTTGTGTGTCATAAAACTGTTCCCTTTTACAGATTAATGTGAACATAGCCGATGGTATTCCCAACCTATGGCATCACTTTGTCTAAACTCATTACCAGTTCCACCATCCTCTCACCCTCGCAAGCTCACTGAAACTTCTCTTTCTTCTTCTTCTTCTTTGCTTCTTGATAACAACAATGATCATAGCACAGCAAGTGCCTTCAAACCAATTGTTGTCAGTGGAGACCCCCCAACTTTTGTTTCTGCCCCTGGTCGCAGAATTCTCGCTGGTTTGTCTTTCTTATTTCGAGTTTGTGTCTGATGCGTCATCTATTTCTTTGTTTTCAAATTTTCATTTTGTATGTGCTTAGCAAAGCTTAAGAATATTATTATTTTACATTATCAAAATGTGAATCATATATACTACTGGTTGAATGGCCTTTTTTTTAAAAAAAAAACTTATGAATGCTGCTTAATAATTCTCCGGGTTAAAGTTGAACTGAAGTGTTTGTTGACCTCTTACAAATTGATGTGTAAATCTCTGTATCAGCTTTGTTTTCGGAATCTTTATTATGCAAATCTGAAACACATCTCTTTCAGCCTCAAGTATTTCGTGATGGAACCTATATACATTCACAAATGCAATTCTTTACTAATTACTACTGACTGTTTTTATTGACTTCTGTTGCCCACGCTAGTTATTATTTTCATTCTTTATTTTTGTATCCTTAGATTGTAGAACTTGAATATAAATTCTTAATAGTTAAAATGATGAAGAGTTTCCATGGACAGGATGGAGTCCTGTGATTTAATTCACTATCTGTGATGATGTTCTTGCTAATCATTTTCTGACCTAGTTTTATTTTTACTTCATGTCTTCTGTCTTTTATGTGTCTTATTGTAGCTAATTTTCTTGAATAGTTGGGGATCTACATGGAGATCTTAAGCAAGCGAGATCTGCACTTGAAATGGCTGGTGTATTGAGCTCCGATGGTCAAAATTTATGGACTGGTGGAGAAACTGTATGCTTATTCTTTTCAAAATGGAGTGCTTTTATTTTTAATTGGAATTAGTAGTCTCTATTGTATATTATCGGTATAGCTGTTGAAAAGACTAAGTTTATGGAATGCTTATACTTGTACAAATGAAATCAGGGAAACTTTATTTCCATCAACTATCTACACTTGCTGCAAAAGTAAAAAATTAAATGATTAGATTATCAGTTAAGCGGAGGGATTTTTGTTGGGAAGTAAGGGAAAGCCTAAGTGGCAATCCACTGTAATAAGTAGGCTCAATATCACATTTCAACCCAAAACTTTACGGCGTTGGATATATGCGTCATTTCACTTATATATTCCTTGCTTAACCCATTCTTTTTTAATGCGGGACTTTATCACTCACACTTGAATTTCCAATAATTTTAATATATGACAATTTATTTTTCCTGTGTACTAGGTGTTGATTCAACTTGGAGATATACTAGATCGAGGTGAAGATGAAATTGCCATCTTGTCCTTGCTGCGATCATTGGATAAACAGGCTAAAGCACAAGGTGGAGCTGTGTTTCAGGTTTGTCACTTGTGACAGTTCAGTCACTGTTATACAGACTTATAAAGCACTCAAGTTACTATCTCTAATAACTGAATGTTAAAGACAACATCAGCAAGGAGATGACAATTCCCTACACATTGTAGTATGGTTTCCCTTGTCATTATTATAGAGTTTCTGTCTTTATCTAAATCTAAGTTTTAATTAGAAATTATTTGTAAAATCTGAAGAATCTGTTTCATTATTATTATTATTGTTGTTGATGTTGATGTTGTTATTATTATTATTATTTTATATTATCTTTTTGTTGAAGTAAATTTCCATAACTGAATATGCTACATCTAGGTAAATGGAAACCATGAGACCATGAACGTTGAAGGGGATTTCAGATATGTTGAATCCGGGGGGTTTGATGAATGTGATGATTTCTTGGAATACATCAATAATTCTGAAGATGACTGGGAAGAAACTTTTACTGGTTGGGTTGATGTCTCTGAAAGGTGGAAAGAAGATCGAACAATGTCAAGAAGTTATTGGGGTCCTTGGAATGTAGTGAAGGTATTATAAATTCCTGTCCCACTTTTCATTAACATGTACTTCTTCTTGTTTAAGTTATTATATATTTTATGTCACTAAGCATAAATTCCTGTTTCAAGCTGCTTTTGTTGAATTACAAAAGAAAAAAAAAACAATAATTTTTTTTTTGTTTCCCAACTGCCAAATCAACATACTAGAGAAAGAATTGTAAAACTTAACATTAGTACTCACCCCTTTACAGTTGTGGCTTGCTGGATACAAACAAATGTACATTTTACAGACTTAAGACCTTTTCTAAGTCTTCTTTTATTAAATAACTGAAGAATCCATTGATCTCATGAGGAAACGTATGAAAGATTTAGAACATTATTTGGCTAACAAATTATTTATGGTTGAGAGATCTGCTATATGATATGATCAAATTTAATTCCTATCTCCTTTTGGCCCAAATTCAATTGTAATATATTAAATTCTAACATATATTATGATGAAGGACACCCAAATCTACTGCTATGTGGCCTCCTTCAGTTTTTTCCCCCACTATGCATGTGTGTGTGCTGACCCATGGGTATTTAACATATTACTGTAATTGCGTAACTCTTTAAACTTCTGGGGACTCAGGAGCCTGACAGGACATTATTTCTGGGAGTTGTAGCCTTTAATAAATTGGAAGCACCCGCCATCATTCTATGCTTAATGAATGACATGTATATTTTTTTGATAAGCTGAAGGAATAAAATTTAAATTTAATAAAATAATTTAGTAATTTACATACTGCACGAGTTTTACAAATTCTGACAAAAAAAAAAAAGAGTTTTACAAATAGATACAATGATACTAAACAAGAAATTTGAACATACTTTAGGAGATTTAGATTATTTGGAATCATTAAAATTCTCCTCTTAATCAAAAGCTAATAAAGGGAACTTTTAGTGTCCTATATGATTATGCCCTTGCATCTGGGATCATATAGACATAATTTGACACTTCATAAGTAGAATATAAGTTTTGTTATTTAAAAAAGAATCGCTATGTTATTCTCAATATGAATGATATTTTATTATTGTTTTTTTGATGAAGTTTTCCAATTATTAGGACAGAGGCAAAAGGCAGTCATTGCCAGATCAATCCTCTTTAGGCCTGGTGGGCCACTGGCATGCGAGCTTGCAAGGCACGCTGTTGCACTTAAGGTCAATGACTGGGTCTTCTGCCATGGTGGCCTTCTTCCTCACCATGGTAAATATTTTATAGCATTTTGACTTTGTTTAACTTGAGCTTGAATTTATCCTTGAGTTTAATCTACTATATAATGCTATGGTTGCCTGTTTCAAATTTGTTTGAACTTTCTCTAACTCCAAATGCCTGATAATATTTTCTTGGTCATTTTCTTCTCCCCTTCATATTCTGTAGTTGCATATGGTATAGAAAGGATGAACAAAGAAGTGTCTGAGTGGATGAGAGGTCTGAGTGAAAATGACGGTACCCTCGATATTCCTTTCATTGCCACTAGGGGCTATGATAGTGTTGTTTGGAACCGTTTGTACTCAAGAGACACACCAGATTTGGTGGACTTTCAGGCTAATCAGGTAAGTATACTGATGGGATTGTAATATTATTCTATAATTGATAGGAAGATATTATGTGGGGTAAATAGCAACATGATAAAGATTTTTCGGTCTGTGCAATTCTCCTCTTTCTTTTGCCTTTTCTTTTCTAATGGATGCTCTACATATATGTTAATTTTTTACTTTACACTGGATCTATGTCTACTGTCTTCTTCAATCCATGCTATAAGGCCAAATAGGAGTTAATAGACTTGGGTGTGCTAGGGACTATAACTACTAAAAATCTAGGAAACAACTAACAAGTGACATAATGTAACAAAACAGAGAAAATGCAGCAAAGAAGCTACCCGGCCGGAAGGAAAAAATAGTAATTGACTAATGAGCACTTTAACTGGTATTGCTTAAAGAAACATGAATCTTTACATAATTTTATGCCTGCAATAATGTCCATCTGATATCTCCTTAAATGCAAGTAGCTTGTTCCTTGAAAACCAGCTTCTTGATTCCATCTTTGCGTAACATTTTTTTTTTTTAATTTATGTTCCCTAAAATGTCAAAACAAATTTAATTTGGAATTAGAATTCTTGCTGTTCTGTCGAATGTTTCTTTTATCTGAATACTTAATAACATTCTTTAATTGGTTTTGTGAGATCCTTAGTAGATTAATGGGATTCTGTCTGAAAGCTAACTTGGATGACAGTTTGAAACTAAAGAATAAGATGATCTTCAGGTATGTTCCATTCTTGAGGAGACGCTGCAAGCAATTGGTGCTAAGGCAATGGTGGTCGGGCATACTCCTCAAACTATAGGTGTAAATTGGTAAGGGATGTTTAAGCATAGTTAAAATAACCTCAAACTGTTGCAATCTTTAGATGGAGCGATAATTTGTATATTGCTATGCTACTTGAATTTTAACTTAAAAATAGAAAATACTATATCTAGGTCTTATAGTGCACTATGGATGAAATACTTCTATTCATTGTAATCAGTTCTTTGTTTCCTACAGTAAATACAATTGTAGCATATGGCGTGTAGATGTTGGAATGTCCAGTGGAGTTCTTAATTCTAAACCAGAGGTAAAACAAATGCATGGACCTATATGTAATGTCCTTATTTATAACCCACAGTTAAACATATCTGTGGGTGACTCAACCAAAGTTAAATATTTATTTTTATTTACTACATATTATAAGAGGTAACCGTGTGCTTCTGAACCTTTCTCCAGGACTTTGCCCAGTGCCCACATCCCTTAGAAAAAACCTTGAATTTTTTGTTGGGAAAGTAGCTCCATTAGTAGCATATGAACTATTTAACGAAGTAGATTCACTTTATCATGTATTCGGTACCTGTTTCTTCAAAATCCTGATTAAATTAAAGTAGTTATCGGGATTTATAGTTGACCTAATATTTTCCAGGTTCTAGAAATTATAGACAATAAAGCAAGAGTTATAAGGAGCAAAAGAGACAGATACGGTGAACTTCAGGCTACGGCATATACTTAAGAGACAAGAAAATGAGATAAGATTTAACAGGTAAACTGAATTGCACGTTGCCTGTCTATTGATTGTTCCAGTACAAATTCAATTGAATTTTTTTAAGTAATTTTTATTCAATGACAATACAATTTGATGTTGCAGCATTTGCAAGTTGAAACTTTCCACCCCTTAAATTTTTATAGTGTATATTCTTTGACCTCTTATACCTGTTTAAAAGTATAATGACATAAAAATTGTTGCATCGCTGTTAAAAGATGCAATATTCTAAAAAACCAACTGGAAAAAAGGAGAAAAGAGATGAAAAGAAGTGACTCGTGGATTGGTGGAAATTGTATCACTCTTTTGAAATTTATTGATTTCCTTTTTTTTTTAAATGGAATTTTACCAAATGGATCAAATGGAAGATAGTCCAATTAAAAAAGATTTGCTATAAATGGATTTATTGAAAATTTAGTTTTCAGTAGTCCCCAATGACATCATTTGACCTGTGTAGCCAACATGACCAGTGGGATAAGACTTTATTCTTCTTGTGTTTGGTAGCAATTGCCAAACTCCTATCTGAGTTATGGATGAGCTCCTGTTATGCATTGTGGTAATTCCATATTTCCATGTCATCTTGGTGGGAAATTTTGAGTCTTGCTTCCCTCACCCTACCCTTTAATTACTTGCATGAAAAAATTTTAAAAATTAAAATAATCAATATTATTGTTTAAACAAGCCTGTAGTACGTAGTTTTAATTTTGTGTCGATCGTGATTGGGAATGAAATTAGCTTCAGAAATAATGGGTCATTTTCATTTTGCACCTTTGTTTGTTGTTCTTTGACTATTTCAATGCAACTTTGAACTGTGTTAGAATCCCCAACTTGTTTTGGACACGTTGTGGTTCTTGGTGGCCCAAGTAATAGTAGTCTTCATATTGGTGTGACTGGAGGATTTTGGTAGTGGTTCAATTTCATATCTTAAAAATCAAGTATCCTTGTATGGCACTGATTTTATAGCAAATAAAAGCAAAACTCCACTGATAAATTTCAGTTGTGTTTTTCGCAGGAAGTATGACATCCACCTAGTGAACATGGGCAAATTTATTCAATATCCATTGATCTATTATAGTCACTTATTAGTTGCCGGCTTCACATAGGACTTGTCAAGACTGGAACAGTGCACTAATTTAGGCAATTCAAATGAATTTGTATCACATATCATTCTAGTGATACTGTTTCATGGCTTATTTATGTACTGAAAGAAGAGAGGGGGGGGGGGGGGGGGTGAGAGAAATTCAAAGCCAGATATGTTTGCAGTTAATTGTAGCATCTGCTTGTGGCCTAAAAGCAAGGTGAAAATAGGATGTCAAAGGAGAGGGGAAAAAAAGTAAGAAGGAGGACCGTAAATAATCAAAATATTGTAATTCTGACTAAGTTGCCAATACATTAACCGGTCCTAGCCTATATTGCTCGTTTGTTTGTGCTGATCAACTATATCGGACTGCATAATCTGGCTTCCTCATGTTACTAATGATTTTATTCCCATTTCAATTTGGCCCATCAGAATATGGATGACTATGTTTTGTCTATGTTGTAGTGTTTATAAATTAAGAGTAAATACCCTTTTTAGTCCAGCAAATTTCACGATGTCTATTTTAGTTCCTAACAAATAAAAAGGCTCATCGTGGTCCCTAAGCAATTTAAAATGGACTCATTTAGTTGAAATCGTGGTCCTTCACAAATTCAAAAAAGACCCATATTAGTCCTCAAAAGGACTAAAATGGGTCCATTTTGAATTTTTTAGAGACCATAATAGGCCTTTTTATTTGTTAAGGACTAAAACAGGTATCGTAAAATTTCCTGAGGACCAAAAAAGGTATTTACTCTAAATCAAACCAAATAAATCAAATGATTTAAACAGATAAATTGGACCTGTTTAGTTTGATTCAATTTGATTTAGTGCATGTCTTACAGGTTTTGTTTTAATTTTAGTTTACCCGGAAAAAGAAAAAGAAAAAAGAGGTCACACAAATTGAATCAGACCATCTTTTAAAGAGTTAGTTGCACCTTAAAAGCAATTCACATAAATCAAATTATCATTATCCATTTCTTCTGTTCTTTCTTCCGTCTCATTCATTAAAATTACGTGAGAGTAAGTGAAAGCATGTGCACAAAATTTACGTGCAAGGGAGGTATAATGTGAGCAAGGGAAATATATGGTAAAGTTGAGATAAAACAGTTGGTGAGATTTAAGTTCAGTATTAATTAGTTTCAAAAAGAGACTTTGGTGGTATCACTCTTGATCCAAAACTTTTTTATGTTAATATTTTCAATAGGAAATGAACTAGTTTTCATTCTTATACAAATTACCTCACTCTCATGCAAATTTTGGAGTTATGTTGGTTCAAGGTGTCTATGATAACTATCCGAGAATCAAATTTTTTTTAGAATTTCTGTTCTCGGAAACAAAAACGGATAGAAACAATGTTTAGTAAAATCGATTTACTTTTTTTGTTTTCGGGATGAATCGATTTAATCTTTATGATAAAAAAGGAAAACAACTTTACTGTTTTTCTTTTTTTTCATTCGCCACTCTTAGCCCTTTCTCTAAAAAAGTGACCACTCATGCTACTTCCTCCTTCGATGCTTTTGCCTTCTGTAAGTTAATGTTTAATAATTAATCCACCAACTTTATGTCTTAGAGCTTCAAAGCATGGCTGATAGAATTAGCACTTTACCCCACCCAATTTCATGCTATATTCTCTCCTTTTTGCCAACCAAAGTAGCTGTCATCACCAGTGTTCTCTCCAAGAGGTGAAACCCACTCTGTCTCCACTCTTCACTATGACAATTGGTGTTTACCACTTAAATTGAATAATAATAAATGTGTTAAAAAAAATAATTCTGATTCTCAAAATAAAAATAAAATGTATTAACAAACATAGTTCTAATTCTTAGAACTCTTCCAATGCATAGAATTAGAAAAAATTGTTCATCTCAAAATCAATGCTGGGGAACAAATTCATGCACACTCTAAGTATCCCATTCAAATTAGTTTGTTCATTCTCATCTAACATCTTCCTTATAAAATATGAAGTCATTTCTCATATCAATTATTATCTTCACATATCATATTCTCAAGAACTACCCTTAAACTCATTGTCTATTCAAATATAACTCAAAAAACACTTTGATGTTTGACCAATAAGTTCTACCTACTCAATAACAGTGTTTGAAAAGGAAAAGTCAGATCAAGTAATATTTCAAAGAATTTTGAAAAAATGACAAGAGGTGGACAAGATCATTTCTCGCCTATACTCTCAAGGAGTGTTGAGACTCTTTAAGATAGGATGAGCTGTTGTGAGGATCAGGTTCTTTCTTCAGCCGCCAGCCATCAATACTGGTGATGGTAGTCATTCCTTCTGATACTTAGGTTGATAATTTTAAAGCACATGAAGAGTTTATGAAATTGTTTGAGGGGAAAAAAAAGTTATGTTGTTGAGCATTGTTTTTTGGATATGTCAATTTATGCTCATTTATAAAATATTTTTGGATATTTTTTGGGATGGCAAATAAGAAATAAACATCATTGACGTGCTAGATTGGAGTAATACACATGCAAAACATGGGTGTTTCGATTTGTCTTGCTCATTAATTTAGTTTTTCATTGGGACAGGCTGATACTCTGCTTAAAAGTTTATTGGTAATATACAAGTTTGTAATTATATACTATTTAACTAAAGTTTAAATAAATTATTTCATTAAAAATATTTTAAGTTAAAAAATCATATAATTATTTTTATTTTGTAAGGCATTACTTGTAATTTTATTTTTAAAGCAATTTCTATGCTTAAAAATTAGGACCAAACATATCATAATCTCATGCCACTTCTCCTCATTAACATATCTCAGATCTTAAATAATTTCATTTAAAATTAATACACCATATAATATAACTCATTTATGTTCTGATATTTTAGAATAAACAACATGCATCAACAAACAATAACTCTGCATGGAACCCCACCCACATAAAACAGTAAACACGATATCATTTCTAAATGATAGATACAAAAGTAAACCAAGCGATGGGATGAAACCATATCATATTACATTACAGGGTTTCAACAAAAAAATAAAAATACAAAACATCGGTGGAACACTTGACTGATGTATTTAAATATGCAGTTTTGGGACAATTTTTTCTCAGAGAAAAATATTTTAATACTACGAGAACATAAGATTTTACGAAATAACTTCTTTACGGAAATATAAAAGTATGACTGTGTGTAAGTATTTACCTCACTTCTGTCCTAATAAATGGGAGTCTAATCAGGAGTGACTGGAGTGATTTTATGAGAAGGTAATGAAAATTAAATAAGGTGTTACTCATAATAAATTAACTATCATTTTCTCTGGTAAACTTCATATAATTTATGGTAGGATAGATACCCTGCATTTTATACAACTGGTTTGGTGTCCTTAATGTCATTGTCGTGCAAATATGAGAACTTGTTGGTCAGTATCCCCGTTCAAATTAGTTCATTCTCATCTAACATTTTCTGAACAAAATATAAATAAAGTTCTTTGTTATTACCTGTCAACCATCATCTTCAAACAATTCATATTCCCATGAAGCACCCGTAAACCTAAACTCATTAACTATCCCGGTAAATAATAAGGGAATTACTTTTCTTATGTTACATAAAAAAATTATTATCTCCTACACTCACATTTTTCAAATGGATCTCGTAAGATTTTTTTTTTCTCTCACCTTCAACTTTTTTCTCTCTCCTAACTATTGTTTGAGAATGAGATAATACTTGTCTTATGCAAGATAAGAGAAGTATTACCCATAAAATAAATTACTTCATAAATTTTAGATTCTTAACTAGTCCTAGTAGTTGGCAATAGCTATCAAGACAACTTAACAACACCAAATAATCCCATATCATGTAACACAACCCATTTCCGTTCGGACATTCTACAACAAACAAACAAAAAAATTAAATGAATCATGAAATGAGTAATATGAGGGTGGAGAATCTTACACATGCATCCACAAACAGTAACAATCTTCATGGAACCCCAATAAAACAATTTCATAGGCTTAGCAACCAGCTCTTGGACATCTTAACAACATACAAAAATAACCAACGGGCCACGGCCACAGTCCTACATATTTATCGTCAAAATTATCATACAATCAGAGGGAATTTGGAAAACACATAATAAGAACAATAAGTTATTAACCTAACCTACCCAACTTCTCAACAGCTAATCAATTAAAGTGAAAAGAGATAAATACTAACAAACAATAGTTTATGGCAGGAAATGAGATCCCATTAATTTTAGAATATCAAATTATCTTTCACATAATGAAAAACTTACATAGCCATGAAACGAAGGAAATTTTTTTCAAGTGGCAAAGAAGTGTTTTTATAGAGTAATGTCCTGTCCAAAATAAACTAACAAAAAGCTAAACCAACAAAAAAAAGAATATTAAAACTAACAATGTGTACAAGAAAATAGGTTCTACATAAGGTTAATCCGATGCCTTCTGCGTATTATTCAGAGTTCAGAATACAGGAGTTGAAAAGGCTTGCTTACTCATGCACTTTATCAATGTTGACAGACTGAAACATCTGTAATGGAACTGAAGAATGATGAATATTCTAACTCATTGTTATCTAGGTGACATTGCCAATGTCTTTCTGCTGATTGAAATCTTGGAAAAAGGACTTTCCAGCTTCATATGTAGACCAGCAAATCGCAGCTGCAGGAGCATGAAAGAGCATCCTTGGAATCCATCCTCGCATGAGCCCTCTGTATCCATCCTTTTTCACTATTGTTTTAATAACATCCCCAATTGAACCACTTTTGAACCTATCACATCCACAGACGCCCTGCACCATCAACCAATGTTCAAGATAAACTATCCGAGGAAACACAAGGAAAGATGAAATAAATTTAAAACAATGTTAATCGACACAAGAGGATCTTGTCAGCTCCACAACCTACATATGATAAAATCATAAGATGAAGTCATCACTTTAAGCTAACAGTCAAAATGCAAAACGAGCTGAAAGGAAAATTTAAAACAACTCAAATCTGAATACTATCATCATTCATTAGTACCATTATCTGCAGCATCACTCCGGATCAACACCATTGTGTCTGAATAAAGCCCTTAATTTTATAGGCTCAAGTGGCCAGTGGAATTTACATAGAGGTCCAAGGTTCATTTTTCCAAAGTACCAAATTAACAACCCTAAATTTCAATTAATTAATTGCAACTTTGACGAGCATGGTTGTGCGGAAGTCAAGAAGATACATTAACTGATCTATATATATGTAAAATTCCATGCATTTAAATACTAAATAGTCCTGAAAAATAATTAAGGTGTTACTCATACTAAATAATATTCATTTTCAATGGTAAACTTCATAAAGTTTATGTCAGGATAAACACCCTGCATCTTTCTCATCCTCTCACCACATTTCTTGCTATTTTCCTTGTCTGCTTGCCATCACTTTCTTGGTTAAATCTCCTCGAAACTTCCTTCCTTATCATAATTTTACTCAGGTATCATTTGTTAGGTCTAAGTTTTATCAACTCATTTTTTAGTATTAATTTTTACAGACATAATACCAATTGTAGGTAAAATCACAGCTTCCATGTGGATTGATGGGGGTATGCCATATTCTAAAAAAGGACATGCTCATGGATTACATGGGCCTTATAACAAAACATTTTGCATTCTAATAATAAATCTGTCTCTTAGCAAATGTGTAGATGGCCTAATAGCCTACTGGCACCCAGCTTCATTGCTTCTTTTATTTGCATAGAAGAAGAAAATTCATAAGTGAGGAAAGAGGTTACATACAATTAAGAGGAGGATAACAAATCCTACACAAAAGAAAAGACTTCAGAAAGAAAAATGGACAAAAAACTAAGAATACAGAAAGGCTGCCCAAACTCTCTGCAATCCTAGATAACAACACCCTTGAAGCAGGGAAGACCCAAGAGCACAAATTCTTCTGGAGCACCTACGACCAGGTTTTGATCCCCAGTTAGGCTCATTACTCACACTCTGGCCACCTTTAAGCATCCCCTCGACATGTCTTATGAGTTATGACCTCCATTTTAACAACAACAAAGCACTAACCAATAGGTGGGGTTAGCTACGTGGATCAATTGATTCCATTGGGTTCTGTCAAAAACCAAAAACTATTGCAAGACTTCTTAGAGCAAATTGTTCTCCTAAAGCTCTCTTAAGTCATCTTCTACCAATTTTTATCATACTATTTTCCGTAGAATAGCTTCATATGGTAATCCCACAGAAGCACAAAGAACTTGCCCATGGAACTAACATTGCCAAAACATGAGCTAAAATGATTATCACATATTTGCATAGATGGAATTAAAGGAATAGGTAATCAAAAACAATTCCCATCATTTTTAACATCCACTTTTAGGCAAAACAGATAATATAAAAACTAAAAAGGGTAGGAAAGATTATTGATAATGAAATCTAAGCTCCATTCAAATGAAATTATTTACTACGCTCTCAAGTATGATAAAATATTGTTATCCACTTTTTCCAAACCACAGGACACAAATTCCAGAAAGGTCACATTGTTCATTTCCTGAAACTTGAAGGCATGCACTAAGCTATTCACACTATAGTTTGCTAGATATATATAAAAAAAAAAAATTGCCAAATGTGAGAAAAATAATAATTATGACTATACCTGACACTGCAATTGAGTTTTAACAACATCAAGTGGCGTTGTAACCGCAGCCGCCAAAGCACCAGCAGCAGCCCCAGCCGTGGCATGAACAACCAGCCGTTCATCATCGACGCTATCCGGCGATAGCTCCAAGAGGCCTCGCTTCGCCGCCTCGTAGGTGGCGAAATGCACCGCCGTGAACGGCGCATTCATCAAAACTGTAGTCCTATACGACGCATAGAACGCTCCGAAACCCTCCTCCCTCATCACCCTCTTCACGCAATCCCAAACACCCTTGTACCCACTGTTACTCAGCTGCAACCTCTGCTTCACCATGTCCATCGGCGTAAAAACGGCGTCGCTGGCAACGGTGGCGCAAACGCCGGAAGCTGCGTGGGCGGCAGCGTTATTGGGGTTCCCGTTTGAGAAGCGCTTCTTGCAAGTCTCGTAGACGGAGAAATAGACGGCGTGAGCAGGACCGGCGCCGAGGACCATGGCGCCGATGCCACGGTAGAGGGCGGAGGGGCCCTCCGATTCGAGAATGGACCGAAGGGCTTGTCGGACGCTGACGGATTTGATGGGGCAGGAACCGAGGGCTTGCATGTGGGTCTTAACGGTGTCAACGGGAAACATGGCCACGTGCTCGACGCAGCCGGCGATGGATCCGGCGATCATGAACTGCCAGAATTGGAGGCCATCGTGGGTTGACACCGTTAAGTCCGGATGGAAATCGGGTCGGAAATCCGGGTTTTGGAATTTGGCCCTTGCGTCTGTGGCCATGACTTTGGGGGATAAAATATTAAATTAAATAAAAACAGAATTAGGTGATTAGGGTCTGAAGCCAAAAGGGTATGCGAAAAATCAGAACTTTTGATTGACTATATGAATTTTGCCCGAAGAACAGAGATGGGAAGGGAAGGGAAGTTCTGACTAGTGATTGTGATCTGAGGTTTTGGAGAGTCTAATTAGGAGGCGGAATTGAAGAGGATTGCGTCCTGGACTTTGTTTCTCTGTCTGTCAAAGTTAATCGTGTAAGGATTAGGGTTCCAAATATATGGGAATGGGATTTTCTACTTTTTTTTTTTTAATATCATGTAGGTTAATTTCCACACAACCCTCTTACGGCTTCTATAGCTAACTCATCGTTAACATAGATGGTGCATTGGATAGTGAGATTAATCGTTCTTTGAGTGAAAGCGATTTCCCTTGAGCAATAAAGAATTCTAAAGAAATACTTTAGCCAAGATTTTAACCCCGCAACTGAACCAAATCATTGACACTTGCTTCGGGGTTTTTTTTCCATTTTAGTTTGGGAAAATTTTATTTTTATTTGTTATGGTTTTGTGTTGGGTTTAAAGTTTCTAAAGTGAATGTAGATAAGTTATCTACGTTCACTTTCAAAACGACGTTGTTTTGAATTAAAAAATTAAAAAATTATAATTAAAAAACTATTATAACCCTGAAATAAATTATTATTACAAAAATACCTTGATTTCCGCCTCAAAACGACGTTGTTTTGGGCTCAATGTAGATAAGTTATCTACATTAACTGTAGAAAAAGCGAACCCTTTATCATTGGCTTTAAAGTTTCTAAAGTGAATGTAGATAAGTTATCTACGTTCGCTTCCAAAACGACGTCGTTTTGAATTGAAAAATTAAAAAATTATAATAAAAAAGACTATTATAACACTGAAATAAATTATTATTACAAAAATACCTTGATTTTCGCCTCAAAACGACGTCGTTTTGGGCTCAATGTAGATAAGTTATCTACATTAACTGTAGAAAAAGCGAACCATTTATCATTGGTTTTAAAGTTTCTAAAGTGAATGCAGATAAGTTATCTACATTCACTTTCAAAACGACGTCGTTTTGAATTGAAAAATTAAAAAATTATAATGAAAAAGACTATTATAACCCTGAAATAAATTATTATTACAAAAATACCTTGATTTTCGTCTCAAAACGACGTCGTTTTGGGCTCGATGTAGATAAGTTATCTACATTAAGTGTAGAAAAAGCGAACCCTTTACCATTTGATTCCTATGTGATTTTAAATATATCACTTAAACTCATTGTGCTTAAATCATTTATCATTTAACCTCCCGTGATTTCAAGTTTTAACTTAGATATCTCGTGGTTAGAAATTTTTTTACTTAAATCCTTGTGGTTACAAAAATAAAAATTTAAAAGATAAATATTTAAATAAATTTTGTTATTTTTATCAAGAAAATAAATTTAAATCAAATATTATTTTATTTTATTCATTTTTTGTCGATATCTTTATAAAATTACCTAATGAAAGTAAATATTTTACATATTTAATTTATCTTAAATAATACTTTTTTAATATCAAATATATATATGTATTTTAAAATAAAGATAATTTATGAATTATTTTTAAAATAAATAACTTGAAATGTTTCTGTTTTACCAACAAAAAAAATTAAATGTTTTTTAAACTCTAAATGCATTACATGAGATATAAAATAAAAGAAAAAAAAATATTTTAAATATTATTTTTTAAACCACAAGAAATCTAAATAAAGATTAAATGATAAATTATTTCAGCACAATAAATCTAAGTAATAAATTTAAAATAATAGAGAATCAATGAAAATAAAGTTTTCTTTTCTAGTTTCTCAAGTTGCAGCAGAAGAAAGTGATGTTATTTTTTGTGTGTATCTTTCCAAAATAATCTCATAGTAACAATCACCCATTTTTTTAATGATATCATTCATTCGGATTTGTATATATATGTTGGATATATACGAGAGGGAGGAGTCTAGTAAACTCGATCGTGGATCTAAATAATTTAAGAAATTATATAAATTCAACTAATAATTGAAGTGAAAAAATATTAATAAACATAATTGGAGATGACTGGCTAGTGAATTTGAATATATCATAATTTATTATAGTAAATATTTAATTATTATTTTAAAATAAACATATATATATTTTAAGTTTTATAATATAAACTAACTAAGTAAATTACTTAAAGACCCAAATTGACACCACTGAAAGAAATTTCTCGGAGATAACTTACGGATCATGTAGCAACACGTATATGTTAACAGGGCGTTATGTACTACAGAAAATTTTTTTTTATTCAAGAATCATGATTTTCAGGAATACAATAAAAAAATGAGTTTTTTAGAAATATTAAAAAAAAATTATTTGGTAGATCAAAATATTATTAGAAATATTTACTTAAAATTCTTGAATCTATGTTCAGTTGATTGTATGATATTAATGAAAAAATGTATTGATTTTACGAAATTAACCTTGTAATTCATTTTTGTTTATAATGTTTTTTGTTTTATTATCCCCCACCTCTCTCTGTTTCGTCCAGGTCCGGTATGGTGTGGGTTTCATATTCTGAAGGGACTCAAGTTTATCACCAAAACTGATGGTGGTGCAGGATGGGTTGAGGTTGAGAAACAATTTGAAGTTCTTACTGTGGGTATCTTCATCGTTATTTCTTTGGAAAATACATTGGTATTATAGAATTCAAACCCAATCTTAGTTCAAATGTTTGTTGAAGTTTAAAGTATGGTTTATGGAGTAGTTTCTGAAGATATGTTTGGATTTAGCGATGAATAAGGAATCCAAGGCCTTTGCAGGGGAGCTTTTTGATGCTCTTGGTCGGACGAGGGATATTCATGGGGATGCAAGGGCACAATAAACGAAAGGGTAAAAAAGTCCCAAAAATTGTTAATAATTTTCCCAACAAACCTGATTCTGGAAATACTACCTTTTTTTTGGTATTTTTAGTTGGTATTTTGATTCAGAATTTGCACTACAATGAAAATCCTTAGGAAATTGGAATCATGGGAAAAAATATGCATTTCTTGTACCAAACATCGGTATATTACAATCCTAGTAACGCTTTTCCAGTATTCTAAAAAAATACCCCTACCAAACAGCCCCTAAAGAGAAAGTCGAACGGCATGAGTTGTTAAGAAATTTGAAAAAAGATTTAGCAATAATATATATATGGGAAATGTTATATTTATAAACTTTTAAAACTACACTATGTCTGATCCGCTAGGATTAGCCTAGTGATGGGGGGGTGTGTGAGTTAGGTGTATGTAATGTAATGGTGTGTGTTCAATTCTCATGTAATGCAAAAAAAAAAAAAAAAAAACTACACTATGTCTGACCGGTCATACTTCAATCAAGAGTGTATAACCGGTCAGGCTTAGTGTAATTTGTAAAAAAAGTTTGTAAACGGATCATTCTTATATATATATATATGGGAAAAATATTTCCGCAGTTAATGCAGAGAAGTTATCTGCATTTATTTTCAAAATGACGTTGTTTTGGTATTAAAATCTTAAAAAATTATAAATATAAAGACTATTATAACCCTAAAATAAATTAAAATTATAAAAACACCATGATTTTCGTCCCAAAACGACGTCGTATTGGCTTACTGCAGATAACTTATATGCAGTAACTGCAGAAAAAACGAACCCTATATATATATATATATATATATATATATATATATATATATATATATATATATATATCAGGATCATTTTACACCAGTGTAAGTTACACTCTTAATCTTGTCCGTTGATCCCACTTATATCTAAAGGCTGTAATTTTTTAGTAATGTGAGCCATTGGATACAAATGGATCAATGATCAAGATTGAGTGTAAGACTTCTAACTCTTACACCGGTGTAAGAATATCCTGCCCCATATCTATATATATATATATATATACGGTAGATTATATTTATAAATTTTTTATTTATAAATTTTTACAAACTCAACTATGTATTCCGGGAAGTACAAATTATACTTCTGGAAGTACAAAGTTGAGTTTGTAAATAAAAAGTTTGATACCTCAATTGAGGGCTGTTAGATCATATCATAGTGACACATGCTTACAAATTAGAGTTGTTAAATCAAGAGAAGATCACCGACTTTTAGATGAGTTGTCAAACTTTTTGTTTGACACTGGTGACAAATGATCTTGTTCCCTATACACATTTATATATGTGTATCATTTTAAATGACATAAAATTATGTCAATTTTTTTAATTAAAATTAAAGTGTTTTATAGTAAGTTCCTATTTGGATCATCTATTTTTTAGCTTCTCTTTTATAATAAGCAGAAGTTAGGTCAAATAAGTCTTTACAAAAGCTCTTATAATAAAAGAGTACTTTTTATAACGAAAAAAATAGTCTAAAGCTCCTAAAAGGAGTTTTTTTTTTAAAGCTCTTATCAGCTTTTTCTTGAAACGAGGTTTGAATTTTTGAGTAACTTTCAAGTTAAAATTTTATGTAATCATCAAAGAGCTTTAACTTGTTTTTAAGCTCTCTTTTTTAGCTTTAGCATAAAAAGAGCTTTTTAGCTTAAAAAAGAAATGATCCAAAAGGCTATAAGAGAAGCAAAAATCATAGTGTGAAAGTGAGAGTTTTTTTAATTTAAATATTAAATAAAAAATATTGGTTTTAGATAAAATGACTATCATTTAAAAGGTCAAATATTTTCTCTCTCTCTATATACATATAATTATTTTATACTTATATAAATTATATTCTCGATTTTAAACTTTAATTTTACGGGAGTGATTTTACTTACAGCCTCTTTTCCGTTACAATCTCTTACAATTATTTTTATAGGTTTTGGATCAAAATCAAATCAACAACTCTCACTTAATGTCATTTTATAACAATTGGTTTAATTTTGATCCAATAACCATAAGAGTGGTTGTAGAAGATTATAAGTATAACCTCTCTCTAATTTTATTTAATAGTTTTAATGTATATAGTTAAACTTGTGTTGCAAAACTCACATTTAATTATCGATTTTAAGGTATTATTTAAGGTTTAATGGTATGACCACTAGTACGGGTGTAAATAGGCTAGGCTTTGCCTTAAATAGGCCAGACTTGTGTAAAAAATATTGGATATGACCTGACTTATTAGCCTATGTAGGTCTCAAATTACAAGTCTGGTCTGACCTATATTTAAAAAATAAAAACATTGGTCTAGGCATGTTGTTTAAGCCTATTAAACATTCAATAATTAAAAGAATAACTAAAATAATATTATTTTATTATTCAAAATTATTAAAATAATAAT